CCTCTGTTCACAGTCACAGGGAACAGAAAAGAGTAATTACATCAGCTCTGTACACGGCCTGGTTATGTAAAAAAAAAATATCAGACAATTATTGCTCATGCTATACAGACATGAACAAGAATTGTCCTCATAAAAAGGACAGAAGCTGGAAATTACTGTCAGAAAGCCAAATAAACAGCAGAATATAAGAATGCAGAGCCTGAAACTTGTCAGATTTCAAATGTATTTTTTGTAAACTTGTTCTATCAAAGGTCACACAAGCTTTATAACATATCAAACATTATCTTTTACATTACGTCACATTCAATGATTGCACACATTGAATGCTGTACAAACATCTGTGTATTAATTTCTGTCTGTCAATCATTAGACAGCGATATGACGTTCTTTAAACTATCATTTGAAGTGATGTAGAAAATGATTTCTTAAGCCAAGTTGCACCTTAAGATTTTTGAAAGGTAGGAAAGAATGTGAAGAACCCCTGGTCTTCTAATCCCATTTTGTAATCGTGCTTTAAAAATAAATCTAAATAAATCACTAAACATTTAATTTAGAGGATCAATTCACCTAAGTTTACTCACAGGTGTCAGACATTCAGTTTTCTAAAAAAATCATGGTTAATTAGGTTTTGAGATCCCTCATAAACACAGTCAGGTACCAAGATCATGTGAAATTTTATCTGACAAGAAATGAGACCGTATCATTTCATGGTTAAACAAAGCATCCCATGTTGTTCCAAAAAAAGGGTGTTTGCCTTTCACAGAGGATGACACAACACTTACTTACTTATGACAGTAATTTAGTAGCTGATACTTCATTTCACGTCTCTAGCTTCTGCGTGTCAGTGTGCTACACAAGCAATATGGTAACACCTGCAGATGTGCACACGCTTTACCCCAGACTCCTTTAAGAAACGTCATTGCCTTAGCTACCACAATGCCTCTGAAACATATCAGCAAAAATCATCGATTCCAATTTTTATGCCTCCCATAATTTGCGTAAAATTCACAAATCACAGGGGTGCTGTGGTAGCACAGGGATTAACCACAACCCACATTGCAGTTTTGATGCTGAGCCTGGTGACCTTTGCTGCATGTCTTCCCCTTTCTCTCATTACCTAATTTCCTGTCAATTTACTATCAAATAAAGGCCACGAGAGCCAATAAAACTTAAAAACAAAAGAAAATTCTGAATCACATAAATGAAACTCTGATGTACTTTTAGACCAACTAGTGTGAAGAATGTGATGCTTAAACATTGGTGTGAGTATAAACTGTGTTCTGATTGTCTCACAAGTAAACATTTCTGCCCCTTTTTATCTGACAGCAAATAAGTCAGTAACATTTTGTGGTTAAGCAAAGCATCAAACATTGTTCCAAAGAAAAGGGTGTGTGTCTTTCCCAGAAGGTGATGCAACACTTAACTATGACAGTTGCTGATACTTAATTTCACTAGTTGTACTTATTTGTATTTGCAGTTAAAGCTATGCTGGCTGTAATTTCAACAAGCACTTTATTTACATTGCAATGACATTTCAGTTATACAAAATACATTAGATTTTTTTTAAATAGCATATTTGTTTTAGTTGCTGTTCTTTTTAACAGAAATGACAACAAAAGAGATATGTGAATTGATGGGAAAAAAAATCATGGTAGCACGATCAACCCTTTCATGCTGGACTTCTTTGGGAAATATCTTTCTCCTTCAGTGAGGTCGGGTGATTCTTGACATGATGATTGTGTGACATCCCAGACTTCACAAGGTGCTATTAAAACAAGCCTCAACATGTCTGAAAACAGATCTTGCCATTGAGCTGTCACTGAGTCTCTCACATGATTGGTGAAGTCAGTTTTATGGTTTGTGTCAGAAGACTGCTATGGCTTGGTGATAAGATAATGTGGTACATAGTGGCAAAGTGGTGAAGTTGCTTTGAAACAATGAAATTAAACATTCAAAAGGCATGACAGTTTTAACAGACTACCAAAATGATACAGGGAATTTAGAGAAAAGTAGGGTATCAAAATCTTCGTGTTTGCAGATTCATGTCCTTTAACATCCATCTTGTATTTAGCCTCCTATTCTCAGCAGCTGTGGGCATGTGCCTGGATTCCTAAAATATTTATGGTGTCCTTGTCAGGAAACATTTCTGCAGCTTCACTGAGCAACTCTATAAAGAATGAGGGGCGTTAGAGTCTGTAAGATGACTCAGCAAAACAAGACCTGAGATGTTTTTGCATACGAAAAGATGGAGGCCAAACACTTACACCAACCACACTCTGCTTCAGTTTTTAGAGCTATTCTAAGCTTGAAAAGCATGAAAATCAAGACAAGAAACTGTGTTTCTTTGATTTCAGAAAGCTGTATATGTAAATGGGTGTGTGTAGATTTTTGTTAAGCGTTTCTGTACTTATATTTGTGTTGGTTTCTAGAGTAGGTCAAGCATGCCACTAAATTGCAGTCTGGATGCAGAAAATGGGAATGTTTTATGAAGAACTGATCATTCACAGAGAAACATGACCAGACATGTGTCCTTCTTTTCGATTTACGTGTTGATGCATGAAATGCAATGCCTTGCGAAACCACACGTGCCTCTTGAACCTTTTTCCCCAATATGTCACTTTACAATTACAAACTTCAGTCTATTTTTTATTTTTTTGTCAGATTCAATCATTCACTTTATCATTTGTATTTTTCACATATCTGTAATTATTGTGCAAAATTCCTAACAGGCTTTTCCATTTTATAATGACTCATAAAAACAACTCAGCTTCTTCCCTATGACATATGGGAAAGTCACTTCCCCTTTTACTACTTCTATTTCTAAGCCAAATCAGTACAGAACCAAAGAAGAGAGCAGAGTGTGTTGGCTGTACTCCATAAGCGGTAATTGCAAGGATTGCATCTGAGTATCTGGCCACTGTGTTGAGAAAATAACCTGAGCGCCTGCCAGGGGATCTTATTCATCTCTGCAGACCATCAGGGGAATGCTGATAGTAAAAGACCCTAAAGACCATTTGTAAAGACAAACCTTTCATTGAGCACCAAATGGTTTCCTGAGAAAGGTTTGGAGTTGTGGTTGTACTTACAGCACAATGTGTTTTGTAATCTAAGGAAAGCTACTCAGAGCTATCTGGAAGTGGGCATGTGCTAGATTAGTTTAAATAGCCTAGATAAAAACAGCAAATGTGTTGTAACCTTTGTAGCGATTTGTCCTCTGAGATATTTGTGCATAGAAGGACCTGGTCTTCAGTCATAAAAGGTTAAATTTAATGTATGTCCTCCTTGGCAACCAATCTTTTTTGTCATTGTTTCATGAATGGAGGCATGTGTTACAATAATCTACACACTAAAGCTTATAAAAAGAAATCCGCATATAAACTGCTTTAGTAAAGACTATCACTTACTTCTTTCAGATTCTGCTCTTCCATGGATATACATAAAGGTGAGACGCATCACAATTAGTCTGTGAAGCTCTGACTGACACCTTTGTTATAACAGGAGTCCTTGCTATCTAATCTAATTAATGACGAGCTTTGGTAGGACTAAGCTCTTTTCAGTCAAGGCATATGAATGAGTCCAGTGACGTGTGTGCTTCATGGAAGATTTGGCCCGGATGTTCCCTCTTAATGGACATGAGATGACCCATGCAAGGGTGATTGTTCAGTTAGATGCCATGAGTCAGAGGACGCACATTAAGGCAAATGAGGAGTAAAACAGTAAGAGTGAAACAAAAGTGATCCAGGCATTTCTACTCTGGATTTTGCAGGAGGGTTTAAATAGTACCCCATCTGATTGGTATTGTTATTACTGCAAAATGTGACAAGAAGTCATTTTCAATTTATTTATGTTTTTATTATTATTTTTGTTAATTTCATATTACAAACTGCTTATTTTAAATTCTTGGTCATTTTGTAGTTGGGGATTTTCAGCAGTGATTGTTTTGCTCTTGCTTTTTGTGGTTACTATGTAATGTGACTAGGGATCATTTTTATATAATTGATTCTTTCTTATGTATTAGGTAGAATGTATTTCTTCGTTTGAAAAATGTTGGACATAAGACTTATTCCTCCTTAGAGCCCTTTAGTCAATGGTCCACGTCGGCCGAACCACTAACATGGTCTTTCCTACAGAGCTGTACCGTTTTTACGGCAATCAGATTGCTATTTAATGACACCTGGAACGCTTTAAATTTGATACCCATAGTGCATTTAATTTCAGTCCAGATTAATTCACTACCTAATGCTATTGATCTTGCTCTGAACCATTAGGCCACTTCCCCCCATTTATCTGTAAACAGCTTTCAGCTTCCGAATAGCACAATCACTTTTTTACAATACATCATGTTATATTTAAGATAAAGAGCCTCATCAGAAACAATCAACATCTTGAAGGGCCTGAAAATTATAGTGAATAGAAAGTAAAATAACATTTGTCTTAGGAACAATGACACCTGAGATACCTGAACTCCTATCCGAATTTCTTCACTGATTTTAGATTTGGAAGCAACCCTTCAAAAATATTTAAAATGTACTTTTTGACTATGAAAAGTAAAATTATTATTTCTTTTTTGCACCAGCAAACTCTGATCACAAAATGTAAAATAGAGAAATGTAAAACTGAATTTCTTATTATCTAAATTAATCTTACAAATAAGAATAAATCAACAACTTTGTTTTCTAGAAAAACACATTTGTCTGCTATTTTTGTGTTTTATATATTTTTTTAATTTCTTGAAAATACTCCCCCTGTCACTGGTAAAAGGGCTGTTTTGATTTCCTTCCGTGAATAAGCAAAAGTAAATAAAAATATTACATAAAAGCTTGTTCCATATATTTTCTTCAGCTACCAATTTCAAGTGGCGATAGACTTCTAATGCGCACGCGAAATGATTAAATGTCTTAATAGCCTTCCATACACCGGACGCTTGGGCGTTAAAAATCTTGTAGCCCCGCCCACTAATGACGTTGGAAGTAGCGTTGGTCATTTTTCGGGAGCGCGCACTCTCCTCGCCAGCCATTCCATCCTGGACTTAGTGGACGTGCTTGTTCCGCAGTGACAGAATAGCCATCTGTAAATCACGCTACAAGCCTTGAGTGAAGTCGCGTTGCGTCTCCTCCTTAAACCGAACCAACAAACTCTGAATTCGCATTAAATATGCCTAATATCGCTTTTTGTCAAACGCCTCAGGTAAGATTTTTCTCCTTTTCTCCTTTCTCCTTTGTGAACGAACGTTATTCGTCTGTTAAGTCGTGAGAGGTTGGTACGTTGAGAACCGTTAAACCTTTGTCTTCTTACGGATTGTCAGTTTATAGTCCCTTGTTGAGATGTAACAAAGGAAACTAAATAGCGCCAATGTTAAAGAGGCGCGGAAATGTCGCTCAAACCGCCTCATTCCGCTTTCTGAACAATCCGCTCCAACCCGCCGCTGATAGTTTAATTTAACGGCTCACGCCGTCGTGGCCAACGCGCGGCTCCCCTTCCTGAGCTGTAAGTAAGCAGCAGGTTGTGCCGTTGGAGAGCTAACAGGACCTCCATCCCTTTTGGGTGCAAGTTGCCCCTTTCTTCAGTTGGCTCGTTGGTGAAATGATTAGAATCGTCTACGTTTGGAATGTGTGCCAAAGTCGAGTCAGCCTAATCGGACACTTCAGGGGTCTCCCCGTTCCTGACCCAGATTCCGATGGCGAGCACAGTGAATGACTTTGGCTCGCAGCCATCCATCAGGGCCCTGCTGTTACAGACGGCGTGTCTGTACGTTGCCTCCAACAGAAGAACACGAGACACCGGGCCCTCAGGGGGGGATGGTGCTTTTAGTGCCATGTTGTGTCGATGTTTTTCTTTCTTGTTTTTTTTTGTGCTTCTTAGTCAGGAAAATTGTACACACGGTTCTTTTCATCAGTTCTTAAATTGTATATTTGTAAATCATCGCCTAACGCAGTGGTATTCTGCTATTAATGGTTTTAAAATTTAAACCACGTGGTTATTCCGAATTGATGGATGATAAAAAAACATGTCTATGAACTTAATAATCTCCTAAACTGATTCACAGTAGATTAAATAAATCAATCAAATGATTACAATAAGCGCTGTGTTGAAAGTTGATTGGGTTTTTTTGTATAGGGTGGGGGGCGGGGTGTTTCCGTCACATGTCTGGTTTCATATTTTTTATTATTCCATAAATCTTACAAAATTTCAGTCTGGTACACTCATTTTATTTTTAAAACGCGTAAAGTGCCTTTCCCGTTTACAGTCGTTGTGACATACAGATAGTTTATGTTAAAATTCAACTGGTAAATTTCCACTCCGAGAATGTGGGGGAAATATTCCCCAATACTCCACTTCGCCACCAGGGGGCGTGTCTAACAAGCTTTGATTGTTCAGCGTCGGACCTGCACTTTTGTGCTTGTTTAATCAGATGGAATAATTGGAGAGAGGGAAAATACAATCAGAGCTCCCCTCTGTAACAAACCGGTCATCAGAGCCGCACTCTTTATAGCACTGTTTTGCAGCTTTTTTTCTTCTTCTTTTTCCATCTGCTTGTTCTGTTTTTTTTTTCCCCCTCAATGGATTTTTCCTCTCGTGGCTGTAGTTCTGCTTATGACTCTTTTGTGCACTTGGTGGTTGTGATCAACAATCAGATTACTTACTCAGGCATTATCTTTCAATTAGCAAAGCTTTCAGAGTAAAATGGCTAATACTGTGACTGAAGTGGAAGCTATGTGTTAAAAGAACCATCTAGAGCGTTGGGGATGTTCCAGGGCTTCTTTCAGTAAAACGAAAACAAGACCATGAGTTATTGTGGTGGACCTAGCAAAGTGGAGGAGTTGAACACTTGAGCCTCCACCAGAAATCTTCTGCCAGATGTTACGTAACAACTTGGAAGTAGGTCAACGGTCCATCCATGCACAATCGGACCAAATGAATGCATGCAGTGTGCTGGAATATAAAAGCCTATATGTAGCATTTTCCATGGTTTCTGCCTTTTCCTGAGATAACTAAAGACGAACCAATCATATGTTTTGTAGCTGATTTACGATTAGAGTTTGTAATCTACTGATTCAGATTTTTAGCTCTGCAAGATGAATAAAAATGCAGTTTATTTTATTTTTTTTTTCCGTTTTTGCACAGTTTAAAGTATAAAGTGAACCATATAAGTGAACAAATTAAATGACTTAACATCTTTGGGTGGGTAAAGCTCTGATTTACTCTTAAATTGTTAAACCATTAATTTATTAACCTTTACAGGAGACTTAAGAAGTTTTTCTGTTACTGATCAAATATTTCTTTTTCGTAACTGAGAGATTGGTGTGTTACTACTTAATTAGTTACTTATTACATTTTGGCCATTTGTTTTAAGTTGGAATTTGTTCTTATGCCTTTATAAAATTAGACCTATGCTGGGCGACATGGTCATGAGTTTAGTAGGTCACTGAAAAACTGTCTTGGATTATTCATTTATTTCCTTTGCACCGTTTCTTACACAGATGTTAATTATATACTTGGATTTCAAGACTAGCCTGCGTGTTGGACTTCCTTGTTCTTTTTTTTTCTCTCTTCAGTGAACATATGCCATAAAAACTGTTTATTTTTTTGTAAATTTTTTTATGGTATTCCTATGGGATTTTTATGTTCAAGACATCAGAGGGTCAGTGTGATGGTGGTTATTAAGCAGCTTATTGAGAGCATGCAGCTTCTCCTCTTGGAAGTACACTGTGTGACTCAGCCAGGAAAGGGTTGTAGAGGACGTTTTAAAGGGTAAGGAATAATTCTCAGTGTTTTTGGAAAAATATTTCATGTGTGAGTGCACAAAAAAATCTGTTATAAACACAATGGAGGATTTATATATATATCTATATCTATATAGATATATATATATATATCTATATAGATATACATATCTATATAGATATATATATATAGATATATATCTATAGATCTATATATATATATATATATATAGATATATAGATCTATAGATATATATCTATATATATATACATATAAACAAACTTTAAATCAGTTATTACTATTTATGAGCTCAGTTGTAGCAAAATTCATACCAACAGTAGTTTGTATGAATCATATTCCTGTTGTATAATTAAAGAGTTTCAGAAAAACCTCATGGTTCGTGTGGATTTAATGGCCGACAATGTGGTTGTTCAGGTTTTTCTTGTCCTTTTTTTTTGGTAGATTTTGTCCAATAAAATACAATATGCAAATGGTAGACATGGTCACTCATCGGATTAGAATGGTATTAATTTCTAGAATTAAGGTCTTGTTAGTACAACTGAAATTAGGCCGTCTGGGGGGAAACTTCAGACTTCTTTTAGATGCAACACTGCAGAGCACAAAATTAGATTTGAATTCCTAAAGTGAAGATGAACTCTTTCTGACTGTTTTTTAGTGTTTCGCTTTAGGCGTTTTGAACTTCTTCTGCATTTCTGAACAAATCCAGCTTATCGCCAACTTCTCAGTGGGTGCGGAATATCACATACACACCCCAGCATTTTCCTTATTGGCCAGGGGGGGACTGAAGGGACTCCCATTGGAGAAGGAGCCAGCTCCTCAGGCTTCTCACTGTTTGAGAAGTCTCAATTCAGAGTGACAACAAAGTTTGTGACATGAGTTGAAATAAGACGTTCTTCCTGGACAGGTGGGATGTTGACAGCTGATGTAGCGATTTAAGGTAGGAGTGTGAAACAAATCGACACAGCTGTACAGGATTTAAAAAAAAAAATGAAGTTTTCTAGCTGAATTTGGTAAACTTTATTAAAATATGTGCTGTAGATAACTTAAAACTTTCCATTGTTTGAATCTAATGGAAAGTGAAGAATCCTCATCTATGCATCAAAGCAATTAAAATAAATAAATAAAATTACAAAAATGCACCAAAGAACATGGTGTTTGCTGATGTGCTTGACAGCAATGGTTAGGAGTTTCTAGTTTTGATCCATTTTCATGAATGGGAAGAATCTCTGACCTTGGTGCATCTTTTTGTGTCAACATGGAGGCGTTAACGCTCTTGTGTGTTTGGGAAAATATGTTTTTGGAAGGAGAACTTAGAGTGAATCTTGACAGGGATGAAACACATTTTAACTACCATCTCAGGTTGCTTTTTTAACTGCATGGAAGTGACTCATGCTTTTATTGCTCTGGTGCCAAGAACAGGCAACTTTATCGGAAAAAAATGACTAACCTTTCCTTCTTTCCTTTTTTTTTTGGTTATTTCTCCCTTTTAGGTTATAATGTATGACCAACAGAGAATAAGTACAACTCTATAGCCAACGGGATCTCAAGGACTTGATTACAGTCGCTTCAAGCCTGATAGTTTGTCCGTGCGACTGCTCCCCTTCTCCCTGTTACGCAGCTCGTAGTCGGCTGGCATCTCTTCTGACGACTCCCCGTCCCTCTCCTCGGGTGAAGAAGACTTGGTTCTGCTGAAATCTTGGTCTGCTTCGCCTGTTTCTGTTCTATGCTCAGCTGTGGCGTTTTCCTGGATTTGGATTATTGTCTATTAGGTAAGCCCATGACTAATGCGTAGAATAGATAATACACAATGCGCCTTACAAGCACCTTATTCTAATCCTCCTTTGTAATACAGTAGTTGACGTTATTCATTGAAGAATGGAGATCGACAGCTTAGAAGCATGTTGCACCTTGTGCAGAAAGCATGCCTTCTAGCTGCTGTTATATGATAAATTTCTTGCATCATTTTCGTTCTCAGGAATATAATCAAAATTCACCAAGATGACTCCAAACGGTTATTTGATCTTTGATGACGAGACTTTCCTGGATTCCACCGTGGCCAAAATGAATGCTCTGAGGAAGAGTGGTCAGTTCTGCGATGTTAGACTGCAGGTACAAAATTTCTTTATTTTACCTTTAAAAACAGAGCATTAAAACATTTTTTTTAGTGTACTCTGACACCTTCTGTTGAATTTTTTCAGGTGTGTGGTCATGAGCTGATGGCTCACCGCGCTGTTCTGGCGTGCTGCAGTCCGTACTTGTTTGAGATCTTTAATAGCGATATTGAGACTCATGGAGTCTCTCATATCACTTTTGAGGACTTGAACCCTGAAGCTGTGGAGGTTTTGCTTAACTACGCCTACACTGCCCAGTTAGTAGCTGTTTTTGCTCCTTAGTTTACCTGATGCACACAGAGCCCTTTGCTTTGTGAAACTCACATCCTTTATGTATTGCTGCAGATTAAAGGCGGAGAGAGATCTGGTTAAGGATGTGTACTCTGCAGCCAAACGGTTCAAGATGGAGCGAGTCAAACAGGTATGCATTTTCTTAAAACATAACCAATTATTTGAAGTATCTTACACATTGATTATTATTATTTTCACAATCTTAAAACCTGTTGTTCCTTAGATCTGTGGTGATTACCTGCTGTCTAAAGTGGATTCCCAGAATGCCATCTCTTTCCGAAACTTTGCCAACACCATGAGCGACGGCAGACTTTTGGCCAAGGTGGATGCCTACATTCAGGACCATCTGCTGGACATATCTGCACAGGAGGACTTCCTCAAACTTCCCAGATTAAAGGTAATGGTTTAAACTAACTAAACACATAAAAACATTGAGTGTTTTAGAATATTAGTTGGCAAATGCTAGAAGAAAATAGATTTTTTAATATTTGTGTTTTTCTCCATTGATAAATTTAAAGGCCACAGTTGAAGTGACTGAGATGCAACCTGTTAGCCTGCTGTTACCTTTGCATTAAATTTAGTTTTTCATATTTTATAGTTAGAAGTGATGCTTGAAGACAACCTGACCCTGCCCAGCAATGGCAAACTCTACTCGAAGGTGCTAAACTGGGTGCAGCGTAGCCTGTGGGAGAATGGAGACCAACTGGAGCGACTGATGGAAGAGGTCAGTATCAGACTACACCGCCTCAACTCTCTGACCAGTTCTTTTGGTCTTACTTTGCCCTCTCCTTTCCTCCTCCTGTTGACTTCAAGAAGTCATTAAGGAGATTGAAGTAGAACTGGCATGCCGATGTCATGCTCCTTTGTCAGGACTGTTCTTTTGTTTTCCTCTGATTTGAGGTTTTTGGAGTATGAAACTATTCCTGATCCATACGTCAAATTAGAGGTGAGCCAATAAGAGCTGCTGCTTGCTCTTGCTTGTCCTTTGGGTTTTTTTTTTTTTTTTTTTTTTTGTGAGTATGTGGTTGGTTTACACACAACCCAATGTTAATATTGCAGGGCTCGTCTCATCTGAAACAAACTCAAAAGGTTCCCAAAGGTCTGGCCCTTGGTTCTGCTTTTTCACTGCTGGTTTTGTTCTGTTTTTATTTTTTTATTTTTTTGACTATCTGAACAGGTTCTCGGTTGTTGCTCCAGCACTAACAGGCACTCCTCCCCATTGATTTTTCCCTGTAGGTTTATTATCATCAGCAGGAGACCAGACTGAGGAGCCAGGACTGAGCCACCAGGGTAAATGAGTCAAAGAAAACAGGGAGGAGAGGAGCACCCCTGCTGCCTCTCAGCATCCCCTCTTTGCAGCCAAGCAATACTGTGGCCCCATCTGTCTCCTCCATGCATACAGATTGCATCCCATTCCTCAATTTACCAAATCATGTTACTCACAAGCATTAAGCAATCACTACATTAACCATTTACTCTACATTGTATCTGTTGTGTATATATATTGAAATGGATCACCATCAGCTTCTTTGGCTGGTTCCTATTTTTGTAAATCTCTGACTTGCAGATACCATATTGAACAGCAAAAAAAGATAATTTTTTCCCCCCAGATTTTCTACTTAAATTGAACATTTTTCTACACTGGCATTTTAAAATGCTCATACATTTTCAAAGTTATACTGGAGATTCTCCTTTTAAAGCTAATTATATTTTTAGATTTTCTTTTTTTGCATCTAATCGTGTACATTTTCCACAAGCCCTTGCAGTTAGAGATGCTTTGAGAAATGAGTGATGGGGATCATTTCTGTGCTTGAACAACCTTTTTTCAAACACTATGACCCAATAATGCTTTGATGTTATGTATTCACAAACACTCTTTAGGGGTGCAGTTATTGCTATATGAAAGCTCAACTATACATTCAGGCTTCTGGTTAATCTATTTATACCAGTTTTGATAAATTCTAATGCGATTTTTAAAATCTTGCTTAACTGCAGAGCTGTGTAATATAGACTGCCCTCTCTCTCACACACACACACGGCGTGTGACATTGCCTCACCTATGTAAATATTTAATAATCAATCATGAGAGAATAACACCTTTCCTTGAGGTGCTTTTCTCGCCTAATCTAGAAGATCCTACTTTTATTTAAAGTTTGTCCAGGAGCTCACTATCTTTGGGCAACTTTGGAGACATCATTGGTTAATTTTTATTTTATTATAGTTCTTTCTGTGATATTGGAATTCACTGAAATTGGTTTCTGCAGGTCAGCGCTTTACATGATTGGAAATTGGCAGACATAAGAGTGACTTATCTCTGCTTTAGACAAACTTGTCTGGATGATGCATCATTAATTTAATTGTGTATTTAAATTGGATCTAGTAAAGGAGAGACTCAATTTGTTTATTGTGGAAAATTTGACTTTTTTGAATCAGATCTCCGTTTTCTACAAATCCTGTAACACTTCTACTTGATTTGGCTTTAATTCCAAAAACTTGTCAATTAAAAACATGTTTACTCACCAGCAGTTGACTGGAACTGAAACTTTTTAGCAGTTTAATTTGACCCATTAGCTAGGGTGCATTCACTGACTGACTACAATTAGAATTTTGGATAGCAAATCTGACTCACTAGTCAAGCTGAAATTCATCTGATTCTGGTCAATGGTGCAATTCTTCTACCGCTCAAACTTCCCTCTTGACTGAAAACTTATAATTTTACATGCCTATCTTGATGAGGCAAACTGTCAAATGAAAACTTTATTTTTTTCTGTTCTGAAATTAATTTTTTTATTTTTTTATTTTTGTGTAACTGCAGCATCGTTGCTTGCTGCAGTCTTTTTTTTTTCTTTGTAGCTTGTTTTGTTGGCTGGAGCTGCAGCGTCTAAATGTGATGCTGTTCTCTGGATTTGGCTGCCCACTCAATGACCAACTTCGTCAGCTCAACGACCGCTTTTAGAAGCAGCCGCGACGCCATGACGGACACACACCCGCGCCGCCTATTTGAAGATTTTTCCAGATGCAGTCTTTTCGGTTCACCTCAAGTTCCCTTTTGCAGTGCAGTCAACATTAGCTAGCTCCACCCACTGACAGCTCTTCAGCAGCTCCCCCTCTTGATCTCGCACAATTAACCCGGCCTGTGCATCAGCAGAAGCCTGTGTGTCTTTTTAAAGGAGGTTTTCCATTCAACGAAGATCCAGATGTTCGTCCCTCCCCTCCCTTCCTGTTCGCAGCTCTGCCGACTTCCTTCTTTCCTCTTCCCCTCCTTGTTGTTGGGGTTCTGAGTCTGTTGCCATGAAGACATGGGTGTATTGTTCCTGTTTGTCTTGCAGGTGCAAACCCTCTACTACTCACCTGACCATAAGCTGGTGGATGGAGGGCTGGTGATTGATGGGCACAGTGAGGTGTTTGGTGGCGAGGACGACCACCTTCAGTTTGTTCAGGTATTCAACTGCTTGGCGATGGCTTCACTGTAATTAGGAAGCCTCTGATGCATAACTTGGCAGTGCAGCACTTAGTTTAGCAACTTGTGTTTGACCTTAGTTATTGTACGTCTCCTCCCATTCTTGGCGTAGATCTGGTGTGTTTAACAAACACACAAAAAAACTGCTAAATATGTCCTGTGTTGTCAGCTGAAAGCGTCTTTTGATATTTATTTATTTTTATTCTCATGGCAGTAAACTTAGCAGACACTTGATTAAAAAATTTGGCAACATGTCAGTGCTTGGCTTGTTAAAATAACCATGGATTGGCCAGCCAGATCAAAGAGTTGGTTTGGGATGCTGTTAGCTTTTGGCTTTGGCCACTGGCAGGTCTGGTGCAAGCTCGGCTTCTGTAGCTGCGTTGTGCTCTTGCAGAAGAAACCAATGCGTGAGAGTGCCCAGAGACAGCAGAGCTGCAGCTCTTCAGGAAGCCTCTCGCCCTCCAACCAAGCAGCGAATGTCCAAAAACCAACCACCAGGAGAGACTGGAAGTACATCGCCTCAGAGAAGACGACAAGTAAGTGTTTGTTGATTGACGTGCGTTAGTTTGTTGCCTTAAGTGGAATATAAATTAACTTTTGTTTTTCTTTCCGTCTTCCTAGACAGCAACTATCTTTGTCTGGCTGTGCTGGACGGAGTGCTGAGTGTGATCTTCCTGCACGGTCGCAACAGTCCCCAGACGTCTCCGACGGCAACACCCTGCCTGATGAAGAGTCTCAGTTTTGAGGCCCAGCCAGAGGAACTGGAAGAGCACCCGCTCTCTCCCATGCATTATGCTCGCTCCGGCCTGGGTACCGCAGCCCTGAACGGGAGACTTATCGCAGCAGGTAAGCTTTAAATTTATCCAATTAGATTGCCTCCTAATAGTATTCACACCTCGCAGGGTGTCTGGATTGCAACAATAGCTTAAGTCTTAAATTCAAATATCTAAAATTAAGCACTTAAGATGCCTTAAATACATTGAAAAAATAGGTAGACCTGAAATATGTGTCACATGTCAGTTTGAGTCATGCGCAGACATCTTTATTGCACTGTGTGACTCAAGGTGGTTGCACCTAGCCGCTAATACTCCTGCTAGCTAGCTTTTTTTTTTTTTACGCCCATCATGGATAAGTGCAAAACAACATTTTCCCAAGTATTTTGGTTCCAGTTTGTAGTACAAATATATTATTATACTTGGAATAAGGCAAAACTAACTTACAAGCTACTTTTCAGTAAGACATGGCAGCTTGTTTTCAGTTAGTAATTCCTTACTATAAATTATAAAAATGAAATTTTTCCCATGTTATAAGTAAATTAATCAGTGGAACTAGTACTTTTTCATTATTCTATGGAATTATTGACAACCTCCAACTTCCTGCTGAAAAGTTACTTATAAGTTGGTTTTTGTCTTATTTCAGGTGTACTAAGATATTCACACTAGAAAATAGACCAAATATACTTGGCAAGCTTTAGTGATTTTTGCAGTATATCAGGTGTGTGTGAGAGACAAAATGTTTCTCCAGATATTGAGTGTGGTGGTCCTTTGTGGTCCTGCAGGGGGCTACAACAGAGAAGAGTGTCTGAGGACTGTGGAGTGCTACAACCCCAGCGAGGACTGCTGGACCTTCATGGCGCCCATGCGGACTCCCAGGGCTCGGTTCCAGATGGCTGTGCTGATGGTTGGTCTAATCCAGGGGTGTTAAACTCCAGTCCTCAAGGGCTGGTGTCCTGCAACTTTTAGATGTCCCTCTGCTGCACCACACCCGAATAGAATAATTAGGTCATTAGCCAGGCTCTGGAGAACTGATCTACACAAGGAGGTGATTAAGTCATTTCATTCCTGGGTTTTGTACCTGTGTACAAAACTGCAGGACAGCAGCCCTTGAGGACTGGAGTTTGACACCTGCGGTCTAACCGCTCGCTCTTATCTCAGACATGTTTAGTCTATGATAAAGTGGCATTTTGAATATTGACCGAGTGCACTTGCACCTATTAGGCTCGTTCCACTTGTCTTAGGTAAACAGTGAAGTGTTTTATCAACTCCTTGTTCAAATACCTGGGTTTCTTAAATTTTCTGCTGCATTTTATTGGTGCCTGCAGTTCAGAATGTGTTAATTTCTTGTTTTGTGTCCTGGCCGCCTCCCTCAGGGTCAGCTGTATGTGATCGGGGGTTCAAATGGACATTCTGATGAGCTGAGCAGTGGGGAGATGTACGATCCACACACTGATGAGTGGGTTCAAGTGCCAGAGCTGAGGACAAACCGCTGCAATGCAGGTCAGTCCGCTGCACCGGGGATCATTATCTTTTCAAAAGAACAACACCTAATTAACATTTTAAACTCAACTTACTGGCTGGTCTGACTCTCTGCTGTGTGCTCTCCAAAGGAGTCTGCTCCTTGAACAACAAGCTTTATGTTGTCGGAGGATCGGACCCCTGCGGGCAGAAGGGCCTGAAGAACTGTGACGTTTTTGACCCTGTGGCGAAAACCTGGTCTAACTGTGCCTCCCTTAACATCAGTATGTATCTTTTCAGTTCCACAGTCGTACATCTGTTAAATAGAGTGCACCAAGTTTAGCACCATGGATGCTGAAAGCCCACCCATTAGGCCAAATGAAGAATTTGCATATCTGACACTTGAAATGTAGCATTCTACCATAACTAATGCAATTTGCATGCCTTGAATATATCATGCTGAGATAAATGTAACCGGTATCGGCATATTTGATTTTGAAAAAAGCTGTACTGAAGCTGCATAGTTTAAAATTTCATGGGATAAGGCTGGCATCTAAAAAAAGCAGGTTCTCCTCTGAACCTGCATCGATAACAGCAGCAATTTTGTTTCCAGGGAGGCACCAGGCCGCAGTGTGCGAGTTGGATGGCTTCATGTACGTGATCGGAGGAGCAGAGTCGTGGAACTGCCTGAACACCGTAGAGCGCTACAACCCTGACAACAACACATGGACTCTGGTGGCCCCCATGAACGTGGCCCGCAGGGGAGCCGCTGTCGCCGTACACGCAGGTGAGCCCGACCACAAACCACAGAGTCTTAATGGGATTTTATTTTATAGACAACACGGTAAAATGAAGCGAATTGGAAGTTAAAAGATGTCTGGAGGTGTGGAGTGCATTTGTGTTTCTTTCCTCTGAGAATCTTTGTGTAGCGGGAAACAAAATGGTGGTGGCAGAACATTTGGTCAGAATTGATTTAAAGGCTCAAGAAGCAGGACGATGACCCTGGACTTAGTGATTTCAAATGGTTTAGATCCAAGCAAATTCACTGGTTAGAATGGCCTAGTCAAAGTCCAACTCTCAGTCCAATTTAGAATTTTATTGGACATTGAATAAAAAAAATAAACTTAAGTAAGAGATGGTATGTCATGCAGACCAGGATTTTGTATTTTTCTCTTAAATGTCCTTTTAGGGGCTCCATATTTCCCCATCCATCCAGTTTATATTAACAAAAAAATCTTCTTAGCACGATCCCACCATGTTAGAGAAATGACACTAGTCATTTTCAGGTAAAATACAAATGTGCACCTCACTTTTCAGATTTTTATTTGTAAAAATATTAAAATCATACATGGATTTTCCTTCCCCTTCAGTTACGCTTTGTTCTGTTTGTCATATAAAGTCTCAATGCCATACTTAGAAATGTTGCTGATTTTATTTTCCTTCAGGTTTCTATTCTCGTGTCTGTTCATTTTGAAGAAACTTACTAAACCGCAGAGCTCTGATCGTTTATTTGCTGATGTTTGCCTCTACGCAGGCAAGCTGTTTGTCATGGGCGGCTTTGACGGCTCCCACGCACTCCGCTGCGTCGAGGTGTACGATCCTGCCCGCAACGACTGGCGGATGCTTGGCAGCATGATCTCCTCCCGCAGCAACGCCGGCGTGGCCATGCTGGGCGAAACCATCTACGTTGTGGGCGGCTTTGACGGAAACGAGTTCCTCAGTACGGTGGAGGTATACAACCCCGAAACGGATGAGTGGAACGACTGCACCAAAACCCCATCTCCCCTCTCTGAGTGAAGGGAGAGGAGGCGGGGAGGGAAAACGGGGGAAACAGGGTTCTGGAGTTTCACAGTGCTTCACTCATTCTCAAACTAACAGGCTTAGTGACGTAATCGTGTTTCGTGATGTTTTCGTGTATGAACGGGTATATGTGGGTGGGGATGTTGAGGTGAGGAGTCTTCAGTGAAGACTGGCTTAATCTTAGCAGGTTGGGGAGGGGGGAGGGAATATTGCTGCTCAAAGCAATGTTAACGCCTTTTTTTTTTGTTTTTGCATATTGCATAGATTTTGGTTTTATCTTGTATATATTTTGTTTCTTCCTCTGATTTTTTTTTTTTGTCATATGCCAACATTTACTACACTTAGTGCATTTCATTTCATTTAAGTTCTAGAAGCTAGTCGCATGGAGAGTTTTTAGATGAGTTTTTACTATTTGACCACCAAGAAAGATGCCAGTTTGAAGTGGTAATAATTTCAGTTCAGAAAATGTATAAAGTTTATTTAAGAACATTTCTGTTGTGTTTTTTTCCAAAATATTTAAAGGTCAGTGGTTTGAAGCCTTACTCAGTGTGAGTTGCTAAACACCCGTCAAAGCTTTCTGTCATTTTAAATAAATCGGATTGTTTTTTGACTCTCAAAATGATGGCCTTTTTTATATTTTTATACACTGCTAATTTACCAGTAACATAGATGTAGTAGCAGAGAGCTTACATGAATCTAACCAGTGCCAGATTTAGTTGACTTTTTTTGTGCACACGCCAGAAACGCACAACCATGCTTCTGCTAACAAGTTTTTTTTTTTTTATGTGATTTTTAACTAGTTGATGTATGTAGAGCTGCAATTTACTGAGAATCCTTTTGTGTTTTAAAGTGTCAGGCATTGGCAGATTTTTTTGGAAGGAATGTTGGTGCAAGAAATTTCACATTTGTAACATTTCTAAATTAATAAATTGTATAAATCTAATTTGTCTTCAGTTCTCTTTGTTCTTTTGGTAAATAACTTTTTTTTTTTAAAACAAAAGCTTAGTTGCATCTCTGGTAAAAATTCTCCTGAGATCTCAACAGAGTTTATCCAATCAAACATATTGATTGGAAGAATGCAAAGTATTGTCTAGTATTTTGTGAAATGAATTATGACTATTTTGCAGATTTGAATTCTGCAATTTGAATTCTGAACAGAAATCTTGCATGTGGAGTTCCTCAAGGCTGTATTCCCGGGCCACTTTTATTCAGTCATTTACACTATCAACATAGCTCAGACCTTGGAGCAATACGCTCTTAAAATGCGGTGGTTGGATTATTATAATGCTGTTCTAAAAACAACGGTATAAAATGCTGCTGCCATAGTCCTGACCAACTCCAGGCAGTTGCATCATATTAATGTCTCTCAGCTCTGATACAAACCAAGCAGAAAATGTTGCCTCTTATAAATAACTGGAAAATTTTATATTCACTAGAAATTCATAGTTAATAGATTTTGAAGTGTATGCAAAGGTATTGAAGCTTGACATAAAATCTGTAGAAAATCACTTTTCTAAAGTATAAGACAATTTTTTATTCTTTGGAAATTGAACTTTGAATCTTTAATAAATGATCAATAGCTGATTTTGTGACTCCAGTTTTAGCTCTCACTCCATCTTACAGTCCTCCAATTACTGTGTCATGGCCTCTGCCGTTTAACCTTTAGCTATTTATATTTTCCTCATGGACTACTGTAGTAAGCCAGGTTTTTTTCAGTCCCACTAAGAGTCTTACAAAGGAGATTAGACTCAACAATCCAAAGGAGGAAAAAAAAAAGCAGGAAGGCACGACCAGAGTGACGATGGGTTGTGAAACGGGCCGGATGAGTAGGCTGCTTTTTTATGACCCCAGACATCTGAGGCTGCCTGCCAGAACCGGTTAAATCCCTCCCTCTGTGCTCATTCACAAATCGGTGTCAGATAATCTGCTGATCCACCTGACGGCTGCAAACGTGCCATGTGCAGAAGGTACCGACTGAATCCCGAATCTGGTCACTGTTACTGTCTGACCATTAAAACACATTTATTTGAAGTACTTTAATTCAATTAGAATATCAAGACAGTTTTTGCATAGGTTTTATTAAACATTTGATTTATGCACTGAAAGCAGAGTAAGTTATCGAGGAAATAATGTTAAAATTCTGTAGAATATTAACATTACCATTTAAAACTCCTCTAGTGGACATGTTGTGGGTCTGCAATTGCTTCATTATAATCCTGATGACATAAACGGCCAGTAATAAAAGTTAATGGAGTTGTTCAAGCCAATTTCTAGAATGGATTTTCTGTTGCCTGTGCAGGTTTTTTTTTCTTCCACTAACCTTTCAAACAATATCTTTAAATGTAGCTCTCTGTGGCCCGCTAAACTCTTAAGCAATGACTTTTTGCAGCTTGCCTTCCTGGTGTAGCGTGACGATTGTCATTACTTTAGATAAGATGATTAAAACTGAATAGCTTTCTTTGGTCTTATTTTTCTCAGAAGCTGAGTTTTGCTTGAGAAAAATGGTTAATCTGAACTATGTTCATTGTCCAACTGTGCTGAGATTTTATAAAGACACAAAGTTTTGATCATTATTGGCTGTCCTTATCAGTGACCCTAAACGCTGCTCCACCTTTGCCTTTGTCTGGATGACTTCTCCTCGTGGAGCAACTCTTCACTGTAACAGCCGGTGTAATCTCAGCCTGTCTGCTGCCGTCACCTGGGTTTAATCCATTTAATCATCCCACACTCATGCAGCCGCATGAGGTTGTGCACAGAGAATCAGACACGTTACATGAACTGCAACAGACAGAAAAGCTTCAACTTGAGCAATGAAATCAGGCAAAGTGTGAGTTTAGGAGTGTAAGATTTAATTTACACAAGTAAAATTTACACTTGTACACGTCTTTTAATTTGGCACAAAGAATTTATAAAACTGCAAATCTATAATACAGTGGTTGCTAACAAAGTTATTCAGCTATCTTTACCATCTCTAAGGCACAATCACATCAGTAACTTCAAGCTTTAAAGTGACAAAGCAGTTGTTTGTTTGTTCTGGGCTTCTCAGCATTTTAAACCAACAGATACTTAATGGAAAAAAAAATACTATGAAAAGTTAGAAGTGTTTTAAAGCACCAGCTTTGCAGGGTCCGCAGTGCGGTTAATGCCCATCTCTAATAATAATAGGGTAAAACATCATAGACCAGCCCATCATGGGGCGACGATGGGGGCAGACATGCAGTGCTTTGCAGAAGCATTAACAGCCTTTAAACCACAAGCTTCAGGAATTATTCATTTTTTGTAAATGTAAAATGGTTAGAACTGTTCAATTCATCAGGCCCTTGGTGACTCTGGAGGAGCTGCAGAAATCCAGAGCTCAGGCGGGAAAATGTGTCAAAGGACAACTACTGACCATACATGCCAAGAATTTGACCTTCATGGAAGACTGACAGCAGGAAAGCCATAAGGCTCCTGTTAAAAAGAAGGCACTTTGATCCGTTGAACCTGGAACATTAAAAAGATACTTCATTCACTTCAATAATGTTAAAGGTCCAACATTCAGTAGATTATTCACAGTTTTTTGTAGTGCTCTGGAAGAAGGCGCTGTTTCTGTTATTCTTCTAAGAAACACAGCAACAGCTGCATAGAATGAGTTTTGTGTCTATGTAGTTTCATTTTAAATAAGGCTCAGCAATAAATACAATAAAAAATTACAAGCAAGCGGAAACACTAGTAAAACAAAGATGTAAAGCTTCACAATGTGGCTTCATCACACATTCACTTGGTCCAAGAATACCAGTAAATACCAAGAGGTCAAATTTGATATTCTCCCTGAAACATAAAAAAATTGTGATCTGTGATTGCATACTAGAAAAATACATAAAAATACAAACATAACATGCAAATGTTCTTTCATTCTGTAGTTTTAATGAAAGAACACTTCCATTATGACCCGACCACAGACTGGAGTACAACCTCACATATTACAGAATAAAAAGAATAAACATCTTGAGACACCAACCAACAAAGAAAGCAAAACAGCTTATTTTGTAGGGAAAGTGTTTAAAGATGAAACAAGCGTGGAAAAATGGTCCAAAACAGAATTGCCGTCAACGACAAAGGTTTTAATCGAAGGAAAAGGTTAGGTTTTTACAGGCGGCCAGTCGGTGATGTTAATGGGAGCCTGAGTTTCGTCAGCACGGTGCGGTGAAGGCAAAGCTCTGCCCTGTGGTCTGAACACAACCATCCAAGGCCTTTTTTAGCTCCAATAACTGGTTTCCTCCAACTCCAAGTTTCTCCCTGCGAACAGACGAGAAGAAGTTTGGCTGATAGGAAACAAAGAAATGGATGAAGTCTGGAGCAAACAGAGAGAAGAAAACTCCAATCTGACATCTACATGCAGTTTTCTGACAAACCCACATGTTCTTTCTCTTATGTAGAACTGTGTCTTACACAAAATTGCTATTTGCTTTCATTTTGTTTTTGTTTACAATTTAGTCCTTATTATAACCTGACCACTGCATTTTTTTCCCTCAGCAGAAACAAAACAAACCCAAAGAAAAAAAAAACATGATGTTCCAGCCATCCCTCTGTTTTGATTCCTCACGCCAAGGCTTGAATGTTTCGCTCGCAATTAGATTTTATTTACCCACATGTTGCTTTATGGCAACAACTTTCCAGCGCTTTGGAGCGCTTGAAATTAACTGCAGATATTTTCCATCACATGGTTGGAATATATTGGAGGGGTTAACTGCATTATGTCCATGAAGCAGCTTCTTAGAAGAAATCAGCTCTAATCTGAGGTTTTTCTCTAATTTAAAAGTAAGAACATTTACGTTAAATTGGACAAGGTGAAAAAAGGCATGCACAATTCTAACTAAACTGGTTGAATAGATACGTGAACAGAAAGGGGAGTCATTCTTTTATTTTCAAAGTTATGGATGAACTCATTTTATAACATAGATCAAGCTAGGTTTGACAGGCCATTAAAAAAGTCAAACTTTTAGAAATGATAAAACGGAGAGTAGTATAGTTCATAAGTTTATTTATATATATGCTTATTGCTCTTCCTCCAGACTCTGGGATGGCATTTTCCAAATTAAGTGCAAAATTTACTGTTATCGAAGTTTTTTTTTGTTTTTGTTTTTTAACCAACTCTACAGGTTTTGGTGATTCAATTGCTCCTTCCTCTTAACTTTCCCTTAATAAGATTGAATACAGCACCTTTTTTAAAAAAACAACAACAAAAAACAAATGTTCAGCAATGACCTTTTCCGGCTTCCCTTTCTTTTGGGGTTGTCTGCAGAACAACTGAGTAGTCACCAGTCCCCTGCTGATCGTTCTGTTTCAAAAGGCCACACTCATCAAATCACCAGAAGTAAATGCCTCAAATGCTCTTTGTGTACCATGATGAGTTTCACCTTTTTGAATAAAATAAGCTCATTAATTCACTTTTTTGTAATATTCTGATTAACTGAGTTTGATTAACCACTGCAGAAAAATAAGTCATACAGCTATGATTCAGGCCAGTGGAAGAACAGCTACATGATCTACAGCTTCCAATGGCAGCTATTTATCCACATTTCCACCAAACCAAATTCTGGTTTCATTTTTTTTTTTTTTCCGAAAACAACACCACAGGCGGCTTCAAATTCCCAGGAAAGAACACAGAACACTACAGTCGTGACAACGGCTGCTTAGCAGCGAGACACTGAGGGAGCTTGTTGCCTGTTTGTCTCCTCCTCTGCTTTATTTCCATCAGAACATTGCGTAACGACAGAGAAGACGGAGGGAGGGAGAGAGAGAAAGAGAGAGCACAAAGAACTTTCTGGCTTTTGCCCCTCGCTGTTTTCGCCCAGCATTCATTCGTTTGTCCACTTCCCCCTTTAAGCAGGCGTACAGCTGCTTGTTTGCTCCACCTGTGATGTCAAGTTCACTCCTGTCATGTTTTGGCAGCACTCAGGATGTACTGGTTTACACCTGCTCAACTAGATTATCTGTTCAGTTACTGTCACTGCATGCACATCATTACCTTCAGATTCAACATTATAAGCTCCTAGTCATGTTTCAACTAGATGAATAAAGGGTGGATACTTTGCTTTTCTAGGGAGTTAGATACCAGAAAACAACTGCTCTGCAGGCCAAAAATACACACTGTTAATGTTGACGGGGCACAACCAGGAAATCTGAGCATGTGATTTTTTCCCAGCCCGCATGATGATGAAAAGCAAAAAAAAAAAAAATTACTTGTAGAGATTAACTACTTGTTTTCTTTTATGCAAACGACTGCACAGATGTCTGGTGTTGTTAATTTAAATAAAATAATAAACAAACTACATCATTTGCATGTGAAACTGTCGAAAACAGGGAAATAAGTACATCTGAATGCAGGATTGCTTTAGAAGCAGTCAGCTCAAAAAGACCAAGCTGTATGTTCAAATGAAGCCATTTCGCTTTGCTGCATTATTAAATACACTGAACACAAAATTAAGCGATGTGCAGCCTTAGGCTTCCTCCTGCCGAACAACGCTCAGCTCCCTGTAGGTTTGCTAAATTGAGCGGAGCAGAGGAACGCTTTCATGGTCATTCTTTCAGAAACAGTTAAACGCTTCCGTTAAATATCAGCTGAAGATGATGCCAGCGGAGGAGAGAAGTACATATGACAAACATGGCTGACATAAAAAGCTCTGGTTTAAAGCTGAACTAGTGCAATCCAAAAGTATTCATGCTCCATGAACATCTTGAATCAGTTTGACCCAGCAGCCACCAACATTAGAATATTTTATTGGAAATTCTTTGTAAATAAAGTCAAGCAAATTAGTGGATAACATTGCAATGGAAGGAAAATTACACATGAATTGTATGTTTTATTTATTTTTAATTTTTTGCTGCTACTTGGGAGTTTTCTTTTGCCATTTATTATAATTCAAGTTAAGTCAGACTGGATTGGACTTTGATTAGGCCATTGTAATACATAAATATTCTTGATATAAATTTATTTAACGTCGTCCTAGTTGCAGATTGAACGTGAAGATGAACCTCCATCTTTTGCAGGCTCTTGGTTTTTTTTTACCAATATAGCCCTGCATTTACATTCATCTTCCAATCAACGGTCAAATTCCCCTCAGAAAAGCATTACCACAGCAAGATGCTGCCACCACCAAGCCCACAATGACTGCATTTAATTATAGTTTCAAATTTATTGTTATTTATTCACTGTGATGTCACTGAACACACAGTGGAGAAAAAAGTAAAACTAAATCATGACAACACAGGCAGTTTTGGGGGTTTGAAACTAAAATTTATAGTGAGCACAAAAAAATCTAAATTTTTATCATAAGAAAATCATCATGATAAATGATAGAATGGATTTAATTTAGGGATACCAAATAAAATCAAGGAGGCAAAATACAATGCTACACTTTTTTTGGTTGTGTTTGCATCATGTCCTTCCATTTTGTAATTATGCACTACTTTATATCATATAAAATCCCAAAAATATATACACAGACGTTTGTGTGCAACGTGACAAAATGTGAAAAAAAAAAGCATTGGCGGCTATGAATACCATTACAAGGCACTTTTATTCCTGCAGGGAATGACAAGCAGCTCAGACACATTCGAACAGGCATTCACACCACAAAGAACTTGAGAGATGAGTGCAGCTTGGAAAATGAGTCACTGGGTTTATCAGAAGTGTTACTCAACAGCTAAGCTGTGCCGCATTAAAAGCCATTAGCCTTCCACACTGATGAAGCATCCACATGTGAAGAAATCGACAGATAAGCAAAAGTGTCTGGAAAACAGACACTTTAAAAATAGGAAAATCCTTTCCACAGATCATTAGCAGGGAAAACAATCACTGGAGACATTGTAATGCAGGCTAGGTCGTATATATTTTTAAAATATTTCCAGCATTATAGTGTTGTTTTAGTAGAGGGTATGAGACATCAGAAAAACAAGCAGGTGAAGATAGTTTTTTTTTCTCACCACTAAGAAAAAACACAGTTAAAGCAATGTGTTTATTTTGTAGAAATACTGAAAAGGCTTCAGAAAACACACAAATCAAAACAAGTATTTCCAGACACATAAAGGGTTTCCAAATGCTTTCAGATTCTGCTTCTTAACAAGAGACAAAATAGACTTTATTCCAAATGCAGTAACAACTACTGCTAATAAAAAAAGTCTTCTCCAAAAAGTTAAACCAAAGATTTCATTTGATTATGTTAGCCTATCAATGAAGAATAATAATATATTTTCAACCTGACGTGCTTGAATCTTATCAGCCGATGCCCACTCGATCCTCCTGAAGTTCAGTGACTGGAAAGCCTCAATTGGGCATTATATAACTGATGACATCACACGGCCCCTCTGAGCACACAGATCAAATATTTAACGGTTGCGGTAATGTACGCACTAAGTAAAGGCCCAGATTGCTTCACAGGGAATGTTGCGGATAAAAAATTTACCGTCACAACATGGCCAGCTTAACGCCGTCCGTCAGCGGTGACCTGCTGTAACAGGAGCGCAGATAACAAGACTGATAAGTGCTGAAAAGCTGCCTGTCGAGGTGACGCAGCAGGTTGTGTTTTCTCATCATGAGCAAACACAACCAGTCACTACAGGAAGCGCTTCATGACTAATGAGGCATCGGCATTGATGACATAACAGTCAATCTTTGAACCAAACCTATGTGATTTAATGGTAATGAAAATAAGAAAAATGTTGACATATCACAGATTTCTGTAGCCTCGGGTTAGGCTCAATCTAAAAACCATAATATGTACAGACGGGATATTATTTCTATACTCTAATGCTATTTGACTGTCCCATTTGCTGGACAAATAAGGGATTATTCTATTCTACCATAACAAAGTAAATGTCAGCGTTTTACCTGCTGTGGTTACAAAACCATCAGCACATGGTTCTGGCTGTCTGGTGGTTGCAATAGTAGGTGACGCATAATAACAAATAATCAGTTTAGGAGTGAGACCTGTGGCTTGTTTCTATGGCAGCAGCTCGGTTTTACCTGCAGGCATAAACATTGCGATTCACCGACAGGCAGGTGAATCCGTTTGTCTAGGAGTGTAGTAGCTTTCTGCTTTACTGAGGTTGTGCATATTTGTTATCTCTGCACTTATGAATTATGGGTATTGTTTACTGCTTGTAAGGCTCATTTGTTTGCCCAAATAGGAAGTTAAGAAGTTACATTTAAAATTGATTGTTAAAGTAAGTTGAGTTTTACCACTAAACACGTAGCATTTAACAGATCATGTGAATGATGAACAATTCAGTTATTTCATGACCAAACCTTTCCTTCTGTTAAATCTGTTTAGATTTGAGTTTTTCATCTCAAGGCTTGTCAGTGTAACTTACAAGTGAGAACTCATTTCACCAAGCATGTTTTCTCTATTGCATCATCTTCTGAAGCTGTGAATGCAGTACTGAGAAAGAAGTGTAAACCTTTCACAGTACTTGGACAGAAGAAAATGGAGGAGTCAGAATGGCAAAAAAGGCTTCTGAGAAAAATCTTACATAGCTTTCTGTGCACTGGAAAAGGAGAGGCCTAGAAGTCCTCATTGATTATTGATCCAATGTTTTATAGATGACACTGCAGGAGATTACCAAAGTTTTAAAGGCGTATCAATTATAGTGTATATAATCTTCAAAATTAAGTGACAAAGATTTGTCTAAAATTTCCTCTCTCATTATTTTGACATTCAGCAAATATGAATAGTTTTAGTAATGGTGTTTGACATAGACCTGTACAATTTTATAAGGATTTTATGTCAAACAGCAAGAAAAAAATGGTTATATGTATTTTGATACAGTGTATGTAGATATCTGGTTTCAGCTGTAGATCCATGATCAAAATTTGTTAAACTCTAATTATTTTTATTCAAGCCACCAGGTTTCTAAGCAGGTATTACATCTGTTTATTTCTGCTCTTTGTAAATAAATAAAAATAATAAAAAATAAACCATACAGAACCAACACAGTGCTCTGTGAGAGGAATAGGTAAGCCCTTGTGATAATGACAAGTATAAAGTTACTGCAAACAACAGTCTATTGTCATGGAAATGAAAAGCCCCAACACATCCCTTCAGAGAAAAGTGTTAATAATAAATGTCCCAATTGTCCAGAAATGTTGGCATGGACACGGTCTTTGTGAGACCTGCTGGGGATGTCAACAAGGAGGGTTATTATAGCGAAGGAGGAAGCACATAGCTGCCCGGGCAAGCAGCAACAAAGACCGCAAAATTTCAGAGAACTGGTTTGATTGAGTATTCAGTTTGGAAGAAACAGAAGGCCAAAAAAACCAACCCTAACTTCAGAGAAAAACTGATCCCGAAAAATCAACAATTCATCAGTAATGTGTATTTTTCTATTATTATGTCTGTGTTTGTAGCCTACCTACCTGTAGTCTGGTTGGGAGAAACAATCCAGAAGGTCTTTAGCTGTTAATCTGGCTTCTTCACTGACAAGCTGAAACAGAACAGACACAAACTAATCTAAATAAATGAACATGATGAGCCCAATGTGGCATGAGACCACAGGGAGCAAAAAAGGTTGTGTGAATTGATTTACAGCATCCAGAGGCCAGTTTTGTATCCACAACTTTGATGCAGTACAAACCTTATTGGAGTAAATAATACTGAGAAGAATCTGGACTTCCTCCAAACCCGGAGTCGAAGACAAGACCCTAAGAGACAAAAGAGATCTCAGAGGAGGCCTCACCTTTAGATAGTGCTCTAAAAGCATCTTTAAGAATGTTAAATCATTGAATCTTACCTAACATAGTGCTAAATAAGGGATACAACAACAACTGTTCTTAAAGAAATCAAATTAAACCAAGGAACCAAGGAAGTATGAGAAAAATACAATGGTAATTTGTGCACAATAGTTCTAAAAGATCTACAAATAGCCTGCAGAAAGAGGAAAAATGAGCGCGAGGGAGACATGCCCAAACATGAGAAAACTAGACTGGCTGTCTCCTAGGCAAAGCTATCCCCATACACATGAACATGTGCACAATGATATGTAAGAAAGAAAAGATGAACAGGAAGAACACGTTGCAAACCATATTTTAAAAGGAAACAGGCAATAAAAAGGTTAATTTACATTCAATTCGAAAAAGTAGGGAGGATTTACCAGTAGGTGTGTAGAGGTAATAGCTACTCAGAATTGGGCGTGCAGAGGAGCAAAGTTGCTTTCACTTTTGCAAATTAAACCTGAACAAAAGGTCCATTTACATCAGAGGTCCTGAAGAAATATTAATGCAAAACTGAGTGATGTTGCTCTGAGTAACTGAGTTTTAGTTTTTCCATACAGGCTCAGAGGTGCAGCAAAAAAAAAAAAAAAAAAAAAAAAAAAAAACCTGCCCGTGGTACAAATGTTGTTGCTGCCAGAAATTCTCAGAAGCTGCCAGAATTCTCCTCCCCTAGTGAAGCATGATTTCCAAAACGACAGAAATGAATAAGACTGAGGTCGAACTCTCACACAGATCCAACAAAATAAGCAAATATTTTATTGGTTAAAAGTTGCATGTGCAACTAAATGTGCAACTTTGTGATGCTGTAAAGGTGATATAATCCTCATCACAAAAGGCCTTTGTTGAGCAAGTCCTCTCACATGTCAAGTCCCAAAAGGAAATCTCACCATCACAGGACGTTTGTAATAAAGCACCACAACATGAACTACATGTGCTTTTAACTGAAGCAACAGACAGAAGTAAATATTTGCAAATAAGAAAACATTGAGATGAATATATTTTTAGAATTATATAATAGAAATTCATTCATCCCAGATAGTTAAAGGTTTGTAATAAAGGAGAGTAAAAAGTAATGCTTTGATACACCAAAGGGGTAACAACTGGCCTGACTGTTTCCTTCTGACACATTTTTGCTTGATTCTCATTCACCTTCACTGCTCTTTCTGGGCTTTCTGCCATTAAGCTCGATTTCTCCAATTGCATTTCAACAGGGTCAATCAGTGAACAGAAGGACGAGCTGTGATTTTCTGCATTAGTCAATAATTGGAATCTGTCCATGTTTGTGGCTTAGCAATGGCGTCAGAGGAAGTGGATGAGGAAAGCCACGCTTCCTAATACTAATCAATTAAAATCGGAGCAAGAGGAATGGTTAAGAAATTTTATTTCTGACAAAGGCAATATTCTGCTCTGTACTTGTCTCTTCACAGTGTTTGATGGTTGTTTGAAGTGCACACAGTTTACGGTAAGTTAAGAGCCGTAAACTGTGTGCACACCAGCTAGATTCCTTCGCAATCTAGCTGGTGTGTTACATACATAATGGCCAAGTGTTAGCGATTGAGTGAAGTTGGATTCAATCGTTTCAAACTTCAACACTCAATGCCTCCAGCAAGAAATAGTTTTTCAATAGCGGAGGGTCCAGAGTAGATCTCATTTGAGACACCAGCTCTGCCTGTTTGCTTGCAATATCTTCAGATGTTTTTAAATGTGAGACACAAAAGGAGAAGCAGGTTTCAGACAGGCATAAAAGGAACACTTACATAAGCAGCTAAAAAGTTTATAAAGAAAAGGCATGGCTGCCCTACATTTTCTATGAGCTGACAGAAAGAGTAGAATAAATGATTAATATTATGAGATTAACAAAGCTTCTGGCCTACTGCTTTATTCAAGCAGAAAAGATGGTCCAAGATGCGTCATGACTAAATGCGAAAAGTCGAGCTGTGTAAAAGATTTCAGCTGACACTGGATTTATTATTCCACGTGCTTCACATACCACAGAATGTTAAAATGTCCACAGGGCGACAAAAAAGGGGTTGTTGCTATTCTTCAAGATCAGTAACAACCCAGAAAAGTTTGGCATTCCTAGGTTTGTAGTTGTGCCAGACTCTTCTCATTTTCAGTGACAACAGTTGAGAAATGTAATCTTATCACATTATGGAGCAAAAGTTATTTAGGGGTATCGGAGGCAATGGGGGCTGATTGCCACAGTGATTTTTATATGCAAAATGAATCATTTGAAAATAATCTATCCTTATCCCTTCTGTTTTGATCTATAAAACAGAATCCCAATAAAATAAGTGCGATATGATTTAACATTACATTTTGGTTCAGTGTGATTATTGTCCAAGCATTTACAGTGAAATGGTTTTTCAGTGTCTAATTTGTTTATCAGCAGCAATGTGGTAAAATCAGCAGTACCAAAGTGGTCACTGCTGCCTCATGGGAACAGAGTTAAGGAAAAGTGAGAAGGTCAAGAGGATTACACTTCTTGACCAACACTACATGCCAACCAAGTCTTACAGGTCCCACACACATATAATTAGGACACAGGAAGGAGAACTCTGGCTTACAGAGGGAGAAGGCAGTTTGAAATGGGCTGTTAGAAGGACTGGCAGCTCAGACAGAATGGTGTGTGAGCGAGTGAAAAGGCTCAAGCTTGTTCTGAAAGAGGGCTTAGTGAAAGTAGACTTATGGGGATGATGGGAAAATGATAGATGAGCATTAACGAGAAACATTCAAATGTAGGACATTTTAAAATATTTATCTCTTAAAGGCAGCAATGGCTGCAATTCAGGAAAGCTAATTAAACAAAACAAACTGAAGATAGAAAGTGAGATGTCCAAAGGTCACATTTAGTGAGACAGCTGCAGTATGAGCCAGCTTACATACCTGCCAAACGCCTGCAGCAGCTGTGAAACCATCGAGGACAGTCTGTGCAAGCAGGCCAAAGCGTCCTGTGGCGGCGGAGGATGTCCCATCGGTATAGCGGCCTGCATGGTGTGAGGGTCAAAGCTGAGTGCTTTGAACACTTCCAAACTGAAACGTGACAGAAACAAATGACCTTTTAGGTCAATGGAATGGAAAAAAAACAAAGCACATATCAAAACAAACCAGGATGTTGTTCTGTGGCTGAAAATTGCTTCGGTGTTGGGATTAACTTCTTCACCTTTTATGTCTCAATCATGACGTTAGTTCTTAAGCCATAAGGAAATGTAATCACGTTAACATGTTTTCTAAATTTAACTGACAAAACCATAGATGACAGTTACTTATCCTTTCAACAATTACATCATACGATGAGTTTAACATACAAATGTAAATTCACGTGCATTCATCATGGACACAAATCTCATCTTTTTAACTATTCACCTACAAATGGTCACACAAACCATAAAATCATGTGAATAGTTTATCCTGTTCCGTATTGCTCTAAGGTGGACCGAAGAAAATCCCAATAACAATAGGAGATAAACTTCAGAATCCCTTTCAACCATCTAGTTGTTGAATTGAGGCGAGATCGAGTTATTTGGAGAAAGTTCTTTTTCATTGCACCACCTATGCTGCGCAATGCATTAGTACCACTGGCAGCTAAGCAGAACCTCAAAATGATCCCATGCTTGGCAGCTGGTGCAGGGTTCAAGGTGTTCAGAATCCTATCTTGACTCCTCAAAATGTTATTACTCAGAAATGTTTAGGTTGATATACAACTGAAAGCCCCAAATCATTTACTGTTCAATGTTTTAGCTCACCTAGTTTGGTACACTTGAGACCAGATATTCTCGAACACAGCCCACACTTTCTGTGAAGAGATGTGAGCCGATCCCGGCTGCTTATCTACAGACTCGTCATCATTCATGACGACATCACCAGCAGACAGTTCCTGCTCCCCAGACGCATGGTGCTACAGTGAGAGAACATTTACACTTAGCCTCAAGACATTAAGTATTGAGTTAGAAGTTGATGTTTGGCAAAACAACACTCAATATTGTTTTTTATGAATCTTTGAAGAGATTAATTGAGGTATTCCATGTTTCTATTTATGACAATACTTCATCCAGACAGTTCTATATAGAAGCTGTCTTTTCCAATTGATTTTGCTTAAACTTACCTGTGACTGTACCTTATTCAAAATATTTTCCATCACAGTGAGGGCACCAGGGACAAGTTTTGAACGTTTCCCAAATGCTTTCACTAACTCCTTAGTTTCTTGTAGAAACCCTAAAGTTGTTACAGTTTCACCTGAAGGTACACAGAAAAGCAAACAGTGCTGGTTATAAACTGACTGCAACTACTGCCTGTTTTACAGCAAATGCAAAAGATTTTACCACATATGAATTTTTTTATTAAACAATTAGATACTAGAATTTGGTTGGCTCTTTTATTCACAAAAGATTATGTATAGATACTTTTTGTATCTGGTAGACAATATTTAAATTACAGAATTAAAAAAGGAATTATTGAGATCATTTTATCGTCTCAGCCAAGTGTTATTAGTAGATAGCATTGGCTCATGAAAAAACAAATGCTGTAAAAAGAAAATATGATAAAATGAAGTAGAGATGAGGAGGTAATTAATAACTGTTCAATTAATACAAAGTGTTTAGTTAGAAAAATTGTGATGTATTTTAAGAAAAACATTGGCCAAAAACTAGCCATCTTCAATTGTTTTTCATGGAATCTATATTTAGATTGCAGTCACTCAACATTATGTGAGTGACTGCTCACAACAAGTTGTGCATGATAAAGTATCAGATGAAGTTTCTTGATAAATGTACATAGATGAGCCCAAAAAGTGTAACATGCATTTATAATTCAGCCCCTTTTCATCCCTAAATAAAGTACAACAACTGTCTTCAAAAGTCACCATATTAATAGAGTTCAATGTGCAAAAAGATCTCAGTACAAATATGAGAAAATATTATTGAACACCTTGTTTCGTAAAGATTAAGGAACAATACAGTCAAGTGATAGATAAAATTGAGAGGAAGCATGTTTTTCCTATGAAGTAAAACCCAACTTTTCATTTCTCCCGACAGGAGCCTTTCCTCTGAATTCCAGCTACATTCGGTTACAAACTCTCTCTGTTGCCTGCAGTACTTTTCCACCACCACATTTGTTTTCACCCTAGCTCACAGTTTATCCCTACATCCTCCTCTTTCTCCGCCTCCTCATCCTCACCCTCCTCCTTGCTCTACTCTCAAATTCTTGGCTCAGGGCCAGGCTGTGCGGTACTGAGAAACCATGTGTGTGAGCCAGAGACCACTCTGAGCAAAGTCAAATTTTATATATTTTCCACTCAGATTTTTGAGTAAGATGTATTTTTTGTGCCATGGCTGTAGCAGTCATCCTCCACCCTGATATGGGTTGACATAAAAGCTGAAAGACAGATTGACTCATAAAAACACTGTAGGCGTGCAGCATTAAAAATGCATCCTCAGTGACATCTTGGACAGAATCGCTGCAGTCGGCTACTCAGCATCTTTCTGACACACATTGGTGTCTCCTACTTTAGCAGATGACCTAATTCTGGATGTAGTTTTGTGGAACAATCCAGGACAGACAACAGCATCCCGCTCCACACTGCAACATTTTAATCTGGGGGATCGCTTTGTATTTTTAGCCCAGAGTAATACAATTTTTCTTTTCCATTTTACAATCACAGATTGTAACAGCATTAAGTTAATAAAACATATACTTTTTTTTATAATAACAGTTCTTAGCTTCTCCTTTGCTTCAGGAGTTTGTGAAGCATGTGCCTAAAAGGATAATGAAGTAAATTGGGTCCATTTAGCAGATTACTGTAAGATTGTCTTTTTCCCCTCTGTTGTTTACATTCTGTGGAAGATTCGAATAATCTCCTAGGAAACTGGCAAATTTGGAGACTGTGATATCGTCAGACCTTCTGATTTCCCAGAAACAGTGGCTGTTCCAAATTAAGCAATGCAGTAACTCAATGGACTAAAATGACCAACAGCACGGATTGAGCAGAAACACGGCATAGCAAGAAACATGACAGAAGAACTTGTTATAGTTCATTATATGTTATTGTCATTATACTGTTATTAATATTTACTAAGTGCCACAATAATGAGAGAAAGAGTAAGTCAGAGGTTTATTTATTAATGTCTTTATAAACAGAAGAATTCCTAGAGAATGATTATTATTTCTTTAACCAATGAGGGAAAGCCCAGATGATGATGTCACAGCTTTGGAAACCTCTGATATGTTATCTGACATCTGAGTTAATTAGCATTTCACCTGTAGATATATTTTGAGACCACACCTGCTTTCTTGTTTGATACAATGGGAAAGTCAAAAGAAATCGGCCAAGATTTCAGGAAGAGAATAGTAGAACTGCACAGGTCCAGTTCATCCTTGAGAACAAGCTCCAGACGCTTGACGATGCTGCGTAAATCTTTCAAACAATTATTCTCAAGATATGATGGGAATATCCAACCATCATGCTGTTCAGGAAGGAGATAAGTTCTGTGTACCAGAGATGAACACACTTTGATCCAAAATGTGCAAAATGACCCCAGAACAAAAGCAAAATGAAGATGCTGCTGAATCTGTTAAGACAGTGAAATGTATGCTGTACCAACATGAAGGCTGCTCAGAGGAAGCCACTCAAAAAAATATGCAAAAAGCCAGATTGCAGTTTGCAGATGCACACAGGGACAAAGACATTCGTTTTTGGGGACACATCTATTGATCTGATAAAACTAAAGTGGAACTGTTTGGTCATAATGAGCATTTTCACATTTTGAGGAAAAACAGGCATGCTTGTGCCATCCTATCTGTGAAGAATGGGAGTGGCGGCATCATGTTATAGCAGCATATGTTTTGCTGCAGGAGGAACCGGTACACTTCATGAAATAGGATAAGGATGTCAAAGCATTGTTCATTTGAGGAAGAAAACCCAAACACTTGGCCAGAGTCATAGTGTTCTAAAGCTGAGGTAATGTATGTAAATTTGTGATTTTTAAGACCTTAATAAATAAATATCTGACATATTAGCAAATAGAAATGATTTTGGTCATTTTAACTCACCTAAAACAAGACAAGTTTGGCCTGATTTAACTTCAGACAGTGAAAAAAAGCTGCATATCCAATGTCAGTTAAGGAAAATATGGGCAGAAAACAACACATTGTGTAACAATTCATCTTTTCCTGCTTCTACATGATTTCATACCTGAGCCAAAGAAGTTGATAAGGTTTCCAACAGTTTCCAACATCTTCCGTGGGACAAGGTGTCCAAAGACAGCAATCCAGTGCTTTTTAAAACACTGAAGGACATCTTGAAGACTCCAAGGAGGTTTTATATAGACAATCTACAAAATCAAAAAACACATTGGAACAATAACTAAATCTGTAAAGCAGTCTAATAAGGTGAAACTGCATGGCTAACATTACTGTCAAATGGAAATCTCTTTAAATTGTGTAAATTGTTCCACTATGTTTGGCAATGCTTCAAGAGTTTTTAAGTCTGTTTAGAAAGGAATCTTGTGCATTAAATCTAGGTGCAAAACAGTTCATTTAATTGGACAAATTTAGGGTTTTTAAGACAAAAAGGTCTCATGAAAAGATTAATATTACATGTTACATGCAAACCAATACTTTTCAATGCAAAGCAATCATACAAGCTGATATGTTCATTGTGTAAGAACGGCAAACACACAGAAAAAGCAATAGCAATGATTCCTTTGTAATGTTTAGAAAATGCACCTCTTGCCAGAGTTCGTCATAAGCCGCCTTCATCTCGGTTTCTAACACTTCAGACAGCACATCTCGCAAACTGTCTTCCAGTTCACACAGATATCCACTGAGGTCCCATTCTGCCTCCTTACCGTCTCTTTTTTTGTCTGATGGGGAATTAACAGGTGGATCTATGCCAGCATATGTAAACACAAAAAGAGGAGATTTATGTATTTTGCAATAAAAATGTGTATATATATTGTGTGTGTACATACATGTACACTATTTACAGACTGCGAACTCAATATATCTTTATAATTTACATAAAGACATTCATGGAGGCATTTCTACTTTGTCCTTTGCTGTTTGTAGTAATCATGAGAATCACTAGTGCTGTTTCTATTTGTTACCTCAGGCTTTGTTAGCTGTAACTGTCTTTATGGACACATTAAAGGAAACACTGACACAAAACGAGTGAAAGGAAACAGAAAAATAATAATATGTTGGTGAGCTCACTAAGTGCATAGTTGGTTTGTGCTAATTACTGCTGGTGGATTATGGAAATTGGAAAGTTACTTTCTGGAAAACACAAACACACATGTTTTTTAGTGGCTCACCTTTTTCTGGGGTGGCTAAGGGAAAACTTGTGCTATCCTGTATGGGAAGCTGGACTGGTGAGCAGCTTGTGATCAACGCTGGAGATGAAATGTTATGGCTCAAACGAGACAGAACAGGAGGCGGAACGTCAAGAAGGAAATGCTGGCCATGTCTTGACCTCCTGACCCCTGCCTCCAAATCAACCTTGCTAAGAGCCCTCACTCCACTCAGGACAGCTTTATTGGACAGGTTTTTATCATTACTAGAAAGGAAAGAAGAAATTTCTCAATTAGATGCCAGTTCAATTTTGCAGGTAGAAACAGAAACAACATAGAAATAAGTCAAAACAACAAAAGCATCATAAAATATTTTCCACTGCAAATGTGGGCCAAAAAAAAATCCAGGGCTGAACCCAGATTCACTCGCTCAGCACATCTATTCTTTGCAAAAAAAAAACAAAAAAAAAACTGTCAGGCTCACTGTTTCTCTCATCCCAACTGGAACTATCTGGCACAGTCACATGCGTGTGCTTTATTAGCTGAGGACAGGCTTTACACAGCAGCGACGGCAGCAGCAGCAACAGCACCATACTGTAGGGGGGAGGGGCAACTCACGTGCATAAGATGAGGACACACTCTGGATACATATTCTGGTATTGCAGGCAGCACTGCAGCACTCTGTCATCATTATTCTCGGTATTCAGACCATCTGAGGATCAAAAAAAGGAAATGACAAAAAATGACTCAGAAAACCAATCTGATCTAAGAGTCCGTCTACTTCACAATGCTATGGTGCTCAGATTAAAGTGTAAAAACAGTTCTCATGGTAATAAAAGACAAAGCATGAATGCATTTTAAACAGTTACAATAAATAAACATTTGTCTCAAAAGTACATGTAGTTATTGTTCTTCATTAGGGATTGTACATGGATGCAACCTGCCCTTGAATTTCACTCCTCTAGGCTACAATAATGGGGATCCTTACAATCACTTAAGTGTGAGTGCCACCTAGTGTGCAAAAAATGAATAGCAGGCAGGATTTCTGAAAGTTAAATTCACGACCTTCACAAATTATGAAAATGTATAATTTATTTAATTACTTAATGTATATTTAACTTAATTATTAGCATAAGCAATAAATAAAATAACATGATTAATATCAATTGATGTTTTCTGAAAACAGCAAAGCTTTAGTCAGATTCATTTCCAGATGGCGTAAAAAAATGCAAAAGATGCACTTTTACACACTGTATGAACATATCTGGTTTCTCCTGCATTTTACCATAATTAATGAGCAAGTAATTAATAAGGAAATGTGAATTTTAAAATTTTATTTGGCTGAACATGTGATTCAAAGCTAGCAAGGCAATTTATCAGCTAAATCTGTACTCACTCCTGATCTGAGTGGCTTGCTGCATGGACTGCCCCCACAGGTGGGGATCCCGCTTCTTCAGAGAGGTGTAAATAAACGAGATGGCCGGAGTTGCAAGGTGGGCCACCGATCCTGACAGACCTTTTCGATTTTTAAGGGAATCCAGCTCTTGTAGAACCACCCAGGGAATCAGGACAACTGGAAATCCCAATGCTAGAAGAGAACAAAGAGCAAGCCAATGTGAATGTATGCATCAATAATAGTCAACATTTCACTATTATTTATGGATATAACAATAGTGACAATAGTGTCATATGAGGATCTTGAAGGTTCCCTAGCTGATCCATTAGTAATACTAATTACTTTTTACTTCTACAACATTGATCTTATTAAAGCTACCAGTTCTTATATACATAATAATAAGTGTGAGGCTGATTTTTATTTTTCTGTTTTAACAAGTCCAAACTAACAAACCCTGAGGTAACTAGAAATGCACATATTTTAAATTTCAAAGACAGAAGGCAATGCTCTTTGACAACAACAGCATGAATAATTATTTTACATCTCAACGGAGAAATCAGAAACATAAAAGATGTGAAATGAACTTTAAAAGCAGCAGGTTTCGTAATGAAAACAATGGATTCAATACCTTCAAGGCCACAAGATTGGATTTTTTTCACATAATCCAAGTGACTGAGGAGAATGTTGGTGTCCAGAACTAAGATTAGGGTTTTCTGTTTGGGATCCCTGTCTGAAAAGACAAGTTAAGTCAATTGATGCTCATGTGAAAACTGAATAAAACACTGGATAAAAACATGCAGCTCTACAGATACGACTTGCATTGTCTCCAGTTAGGAGGCAGAGAACTATACTGTGAATGAATGATTTTCATCAAAGTATGTTAATGAAATGGCCTAATCAAAGTCAAGAATGACACAGCATCTCTGTTGAAACTTGAAAGTTATCGTTCTCAGAAACTCTTCATTCAGTCTGACTGAGTTTGAATGACCCACAACTCATCTCAGGGACAGAAGTTGATATTTTTCTTTATAAAATAATTAGCAAATTTATGTGTAGTCCATCCATTTGGTGTTTTAACAGTTAATCTTTGAACCTTAACAACATTTTTAAAAGGAAACAATAAAACTCACAATTGGTTTCTGCGGCTCCTTCCTCAGCAGAATCTATGTCCATGCCGGTGAGTTCACCGTAGCTCTGCTTCACATTTACCTCCAGCCTCTTTTCAGACCGAGCAAGATGAAGCTCTTCAACTACCTGACCCTGAAAGAAACATCATTTTTTAGATAGAAATTAAAAAGCGCCTAAATTAATAAGGTTAATTATTGGTGCTTTTTAAAAATTTTTTTACCTGATCAAAGAATTGCGCAGGGTTTGCATCTCCTGCTGGTGGGCGTTCAGATAGGAGATGGTCAGGGAAAGACGACCTCTTACTTTGTTCTTTACAAAGAGAATCAGAGGAACCAGCCAAAAGCCTGCAAGGTTCCACTGTTGCTGGCTCCAATTTCTTCACTTCAGAGCCGTCTTTGTTATCCTTGAGCTTGAGGTTTTGGTTTGAAGACACCAAATGATTATTTCCGAGTGAGCTGTGTGCAAGTGCAGGCTGTCTGTTTTTTGGTATTTTGAAATTGAATTTAACAGGCAAACTTTTTAGAGTGTCTATTTGTTTCAGAGTGGATGGTGGTGGCTCTGATTTCTTGCTCTCGGGGGTTGAAGTGAAGCTCTTCCATTTCTTTGGGTTTGTCACTGTCGTAGAGGGTTTCGGTGAAATGCAAGACTTCTGTGTGACAGTGGTAGGGGGATTTTTGGCATCCACACTCGTACTCTTGTTAAACTGATAATTTTTACTTGTATTCTGGTCTTGCTCCATGTTGCTCCATTTTTTAAAATGTTTGTAGTGGGAGGAGATGGGTTCATGGGTCTTAATGTTCCTGCTGTCATATGAGGATCTTGAAGGTTTCCTTGCTGATCCATTCCTCCTCTCTGAACCCTGCCTGTGATCTCTGTGTTCAGCAGCATTTAACTTGTTACTCATTCGCTCATTTTCTAGTTTGGAATAGCTGCCCTGAGAGCACTTTTTATCAAATTTGCCTTTCAATTTTTTCTCTATTGTCTGATTAAGTAAAGCAGCACAGCTTGCCTTATTGGGCTTTGACTGGTCCCTTGTCACAGTTTTAATTTCCTTTGTTGTTCTAGATATACTGGATTGGTCTTCTCTGTGTAATTGCAAGGATCCCTTGTTTTTAAGCTGCTCTTCTTTAGGAGATACTTTCTGCTGTTCTTTTGTTGTTGACAGTCTGTAAACAGGCTTTGCTATCTGGCGGGAGCTGTGGGAGTCAACTTGATGAGATTTTTTCTGTTCCTTTTTAGAGCTGCATGTTGGACAAGAAGAAAAAAGTTATCAGAATAACTATTTAACCTGGGAACAAGTGTCTTTCAAAATGAGTCTAACTCCTAGATCTTTTCCCCTATTTTGTCACAACCACAAACTACATGACAGACCAATAGGTACATAATTTTGAAGCAAAGATAAAAGGTTATGTGATTTTACAAAAAAATAAAATCAGAGAACTGTGTTCTGTAGTATTTCTAAATAAAATCTAATCATTTTGAAGACACAAACTTAGTAAAGGAACCACAAGTGTGTGATATAATCGCTGTTCAAGTGGAGCTGTTCTTCTACAGTCTTTCTATCCATCCAATCAGATCGAGTTCAAGCTATTTTTAAAAATAGAATTAGCCAAAATTTCTCTGTCTGAACATAAAAAGCTTGCAGAGACAAACCATACATCACTGTTTTCATAGAGCAAGATGGTTCCGAGTTGAAAAATTGTTAGATAAGACATTTATCATTTTACTTGTCCTCACAATTATACAGGACTTTGTTTGTGACAAGGATCTCAAACATAAATCAGTATGAGAATGACCAAAACTAAGTCAAACAGAAAATAATTAATTCAAGTATTAGCTATAACACAAGCTACTTTCTGCATGATAATTGGATGTATGTCATTTTTGACATACATCCAATTATTTTTGACTAAAATTTGGTTGGTTAAAATGTACAAAATATTGAGCCAGATATCAAGGCACTGAATGTGATGCAGTACCCAAAGTATTCAACAGACTATTGATATGTACATATGATTTTGAGCCCTTGCTCTACCATGTTTATCTATTTATATACACACTGCTAATGCTTACACAGCCATAACCATTGATGACATTTAAAACCGGCTCTAGTCACACATAGTCACAGACAAACAGATAAACACCCCTTACTATGGGGTGCAGAAGGAAGCTTAGATAAAAGCAGAGCTTGCATTCCATTCTTTGCTTCTCTTGTTTTGTGTGAGCAAGCTGAAGCCTCAACACTGGACAATGAATGTCACTCTGGATCTGATCTATTTTAATATTCTGTACATCTAATTACTTTTGGCACTAAAGCTTGACTTAATACTTAATCAAATCCCGTTATTTCTAAAGGTAATAACACTGCTGTTTTTATTGGGCAGGTCTCAAAACTCTACCTTTAAGTTAACATTTAGATAAAAACAAATACTAACCTGTACACGTATTCCTGTTTTTCATATTTACATGTTTAGCTCTTTATATAGACAACTGCAAAAATGTGAACTTTATAAATCTAAATTATTCTGATAAAGAAGATCTGGAAAATGTAGGATGACCTAATTGCAGAAAATATGATTTGGAGTCCTGATTACAAACTTTATTTGGTCTGTACAAATCTGTTGTACCTCTTTCGATCCATTTCGTCATTTTTTCTTTTGTGACTTTTCCTTTTGGAGGCATCATTTTGGCAGTTTGAACCCTGAAAACATAGGGGTTTTGTGGGAAACAAATGTCATAGGAATGATTGTACTTCAGAGACATTATCACATGTAGTAAGCAATTTGCTCTTTCCTTGTAGGTAGTGGATTTTATAAAAACAAAAACATTTTAGCATGCTGGCATCGTCATGCAATGTGCTAGAACGCTGGTTGACTAAACAACCTTAACACATCAAATCCTAAAAGCAGAAAAATAAAACAATTTCCTTACCGCTTCTTCTTCGCCAGAAGATGAAGACAACCTATTTAGTTTTCTCTTTTTTAAATGTTTTGACATTGTTCTTCTGAAATTAGAAAAGGGGGAAAAATGTATTGCTTACTAAATTCGAACTGCTCAAGGAATTTGGAGGAATTTTCGAAAACAAACTAACCTCGGTGTATTTCACACGGTGTATTTAAATGAAAATAAACATTCTCTTCTGGGTGTTCCTACTCAAAATTCGTCGTCAAAGTTTTCTTTCCTAATGGAGGCTTGAAAAATAATCATAGTTTTATTTGGATGAGAAGTGTAAAAAAAGTTGTTCAATTCGGAAAACTCGAAGTAAAAAATAAAATAGCACAGTTAAACGGCTTCTTCAAGCAAAGCTCACAAAAGAGCAAATAGCAAACATCACAAATCGTGGTATTTACTGTACAAAATACCAGTGTATCTTTACTTATTTAAACGCCTGAGAGAAATATAGGTATAACTTCTGGGAAAATTCGTCACGTTAGCCAGGAGGTAGCCAAAACATCCGGTTTGTCTTCTTCTGACACAGTCCCAATAGAACTGTTCCATGTCATGCGCAGTGCTGCCCTCTAGAGAAAAATATGTGGTTTGGCTTAGAGAAAAGCGCCACGTCAGAGAGTCCGCCATATTGTGAGAGGCAGCTCGTCCTGAAAAACCAGCAAATTTTATCTCAATCTGGGGTTTTCCATATAACATCGACATCAAACCAATTTTGGTGAGACACTCTTGGAGAAAGTGGAGTTCTGGGGAGGAACTTTTTGTACCGCACTCTTTATTTTTACATGAGTGACATTTAAGTATTGCTACTTGCTTGAATACCATTTCAGAATACTCCTTCGTTAAAGTAACGTCACTGAATTTCCTTTTTGTACACAAGCTAATGTTTATGTGTTTTTTCCAGCATCATAGAAAGATGCTGTTTAGTTTCTATCAGGTGAGCTTGCTGGGACATTTGGAGATTAAAAATTAAATAGAATATATATATTATTTGTTCTGATTAGTCTTTTTCTTTTTTCTGAAGAAACTTTGTATTTAGTCAAATCATACAGTGAAAGTATATATTTCTTTATTTAGCAATATATATATTTTTGGTTTAAAATGTTCATCAAACTACACAACTGGATAGGATCTTTAAGTGGAGAAGGCTGTTTTGCTATTCATACCCTTACTGTTAGGTCTTCTGCATTTTGTTTCATGCTTCATAATATACTGTAATTACTTAGTTTTGTTATTCATGTATGTTGTTTAAATCTTATTTTGATCATTTATGCATATTCTTTATGCTGTTATTCTGAGTTGAAGACCACATGCATGTTATTTGAGTGACTTTTCTGTTCGTAACTTTTTTCTTCGTGATGGAAGCACTGAATTGCTGCAGCATTCTTTAACAGGGTAGTGTCTTCAGAAATTTTGCATGCCTGTTTTTTTCCTCTAAGCAACCAAATCTGCAACTTTTCCATGCAAAAGGAAGATAAACTTTCTCACAAGAACCTTGAGAAAAGAGTAAGTTTTCAGAATCGTCCTAATGTAATCTGGGTGGAAGAATTTGACCTATTCAGAAAATCATAAACACTGTATCTGTTGTCTTTTAGCTGCATATTTCCCACCAGTGTCTGTGTTGGAGATTCACAATTTCTTATAATTGACATCTCACAGATATACAATAAAATGTTTATTGTATTAGCTTAAAACAGCTTTCAAAGGAAGAAGATGTTAAACAACAAACAATCTTCAATAAATATCACAAGCACACACACACTGTAAACATTCAGTGACTTCTAGATTGAGGTACAGATAAAAAAAATCTATTAACATAGAAATAAACTAAACCTGAACTAATACAGTATCGCTCTCTGGTTAAAATGTGAGAAGATTGTAAGATTAGTATAAACTGGAGAAATTTTAACTGAGAGACATCCTAGAGTCACTCAATGAGATTATTATGGATTAGTACACAAGTCTTTAATTCTGAGTTGGGAAAATACATGAATAATATAGACAAATGAAAATTACATTTTTCTCCAGAACAGAAGACACGAGAGCTTGTAGAGCGAAAGTTTCAAATAGAAGCATCTGTTTAACATTGTATCATGACTTTGCTAAAAAAATATGCAAACTTATGAGGTCACAGGAGCATCTGCTGATCCTCCCCGTTATTTTGAGCTTTTTGAAGGCCACACGTCAGTTGAATGGTTTTTGTCAGAGGATTTCTGGTACAATTCTGACATATTTGACCATTCTTCTTTAGAAATTTGGTAAAGTTTATTTGAATTTTATGTTGTTCTCCCACTGACCCAAATACAAATATTTGGAATGTTTGACATCAAGGTTTTTCCGCAACTTAACATTATATTGCTTTGTCATGCCTAACCAGTTTTTAACTGTATTTCCGACTGACCTTTTGGAAAACCCAACTGTGTCCAAATTTAAACCATTTGACCTATATTCCCATCAGAGGACAGTAAGTTGGTTATAATGTTTAAAACCCACTCAAGAATTGCTAAGGCTCAATCATAAAGTAGAAGTTGCTGGTAACCTAGTGTCACTGTCCATAATGAAGAGTTTGAAATGACTATTCAAAGTAGAAAAGCTTCCTTTTGACAGGAAGTGAAGAACAAAGGAAATATGAAATTGATCCAGTCACCTAATATTTTAGTTGTCGCCTTTTTTCAAAAATCCACTTTTGTCATTATTTTTTCTTCTCCCTCTTTGTTACGCTATATAATATGTTTGTAAAGGACTGTTTCAAAATCCCAATTTGAAATAAGACTTCAAAATGAACACCTTGAAGCTCAACTGAAAACTGGTCTTCTAAAAGGGAGCTCAATCAAAATGTACAGCAAATTCTTCTGAATTTTTTTTTGTTTAAAAACATGGAAACCATGATTTATTTTCATTTCACTTCACATTCATGCTATGCTATGTGATGTTCAATAACTTAATATTCCAATAAGCTAACTGTTATTGTGTGAGTGTGATGCATAAATCTCATAACTGTGAAAAACTTAAAAGGGAAAGAATAATTTTGCAGAACTACATTACATGCAATTTCTATGTCTTTGCCACATGGTGGCACTGTTACACCACCAGGGCCAATCCCAGATCGCCGAGGAAGGTAGAACCACAATACATTATTACATTATTTCTTCTTTTGACAGATGTGTACCTTTTTTTCTGCAGTTTAATATAATTTTAAGGTTTAAATTTTAGACAAAGTTGAAATCTTACATGCTGAAAGCATTCTCTCAAAGACTCAAAAGCTGTGCTGGAGGATGATCAGAGGGGCAATTTGTTACAACTTAAATCTCCCTGATGAAGTAAGAAAAACTGAGGAACAGGGGAAATATAAAATTGATCCTGTCACCTAATATTTTAGTTGGTGCCTTTCATTCAAAAAACCACTTCTGTCATTATTTTTCTTCTTGTTTGGATTTTGTTACGCTATCTGATAGGCCTCTAAAGGACTGTTTCAAAATCCCTATTTGGAAATTAACTTTTTGTATTACTTGATTCAAAATCCAGTAGAAGTTCTGCATCTGTGATTTAAATTTGTTACATTTCATCCAGTTTACTAGTCATCCAAAAAGACATTAATAGTTTGTGGGATAAATTTGAAACCTATTACAAAAAACATTTAAAAATCATCTTTCAATGATGCAGAAGATGTATTTTCTCCAATAGCATGATTTCAGAGATGAAATAATTCAGATAGCCACAGATTCTATATTTCTTTGGATCACTAGAGACAAGACTTATTGGAAGTAATTAGATGTCATGACTTAAAACTCCTGAGGCATGGTGCTGCAGGAGAAAAAAAACCCAAACAGTTGTTTTGAGTACCATTTATTATGCATGGGGGGGAGATTATTTAAATTAGATCATCTGCGTATCAATCAGCGGAGAATTCCTAAACTGAGTCATGAAAAGAAAAAAAAGCAGCGATATCTTTCAGTTACAAACTGTTACAAAATGTAATAATAGGTCCTTTGTGTGTTTCTTCAAGATGACATAAAACAGACAACAAACAGATGAGCTGTGAATAGCACCAGCTGCAGAAAATATATATATTTTTTCTATAATGTTGGATATGAATTGTAATATGTTAGGCACTTTGAAAACAACAGCTAAACACATGGAAATTCAGTCAATGACACACCGTGGATTCGAACAGTGTCAGGGTAAATACACAAGGATCACATTAAATGTTGGACACTGCCTCCCTGTGTTGGATTACATTTAATTCTGTTGGGTTTACTGGTGATGAAATGTGTTTTTATGATATGATGAAGTTGCAGAAGTCAGATGTCAGGTGGCCCAGTTTATGCAATCTTATCATTGGAGGAACTAAGACTCATGAAACTAAATCTTTTATATGGGCTTTAAACAAATGAAAAGGAAATCTGTGCTTATGTCATGCTCACAGTGTTGAATAAACACTTATCTTGTTTCAAAGTTAGTTAGTAGGTTATCTAATAACGTCATCTTTACTAAAGTTCATACGCCTAATGTTTTATGATATAAAGAATCTTTTAGTTGATTTTGCGGACCTTCTTTAGCAAGGAACTGGTGTTAAAGCTTTTATCTGGTGTGGTCACGGAAAACAATTGTGCCAATTCACTATATTTGTCTTCTTATGATCTAAGTGAAAAAATGTGACTGTTTTGTATAACTGTTGTATTTTTACCATCTGTAAGTCTGTTCCTTCTTGTATGCATTTGTCTGTCTCACTTATACATTTCAAAATTCCTTTTTGTCTCTCACTATCTGCTGTCCCATTTGGTTTACAGACATATGGCTTCAAATACTAGCCAGATTTAGATGGACAGCACATGCTTTGTGAGTATATGAGTGTTCACATGTGCATGTGATATTAAAATATGTGTTAGGGAGGGTCACTAATGTGCTGATGGTTTACTCACTCACTCACTCACTCACTCACTCACTCACTCACTCACTCACTCACTCACTCACTCACTCACTCACTCACTCACTCACTCACTCACTCACTCACTCACTCACTCACTCACTCACTCACTCACTCACTCACTCATCACTCACTCACTCACTCACTCACTCACTCACTCACTCACTCACATTATGCATGCGTTTAATCTTATTCATGCCTGCTAGGGGGCAGAGGACTTCAGTTCCCATTCCAGAAGTCAATTGTACACAAAGGACATTGTGCCAATTCATCGCAGGGCCAATCAGAAACTTTAACTAAGTCCATTCAAATTTGTGAGAGAAGGTACTTATGTTACTTTATCCAGCATTTATATATGGGCCTCTAATGGGTCCCAAACTTAATTGGGCCTCAAATTGGATTGTATTACAACGTGGCAAAATGTTAACTGCTGTTGCAGTTTTGATGAAGGACAACTCTGGGTAAAAGTTGAAGCCATATGGATCCAATATATGTTGTTAAATTTTCTTAATATCCATTTGTGACAAAGTCACAAAATGGCTTAAGCTGGTTTTATTTGGAAATACTGAATTTAATTAACTCTAGTGAGGCCCAC